TGCAAAAAGAAAGAACATGACTTCAGTTTGCATATCAAACTGCGTCAACGACGCACGTGACCCGCGCGTGCCGATGCGAGCCACCTACGTGAACCTCTACAAGTGGCCCGAGTCAGACGCCGAGTTCGTGAGGTCGGTGAGCTCCAAAGGGCGGAGATCAGGTGCTCAGCAACATGGGCACCCAAGAGTTGTGGACAGCATATCCTGCAGGCAAATGTACCTGAGGAGCTACACGTTCTCAAGGAAAGAGACGGTGCCTGAGAAAACCCAGAAATGCTTTGGCAGAGTCAAGGAGAAAATGGTGAACAATAAGAAGGGGAAGGCCAAAGGAGGGCGCAAGAGGAGTAACAAGTGTTTGGTTCTCAGGAAAGTGAAGGAACTGTCATCTGCTGCTCTGTTTAGAATTTTCCAGAGGTTCTTGTCTTGCTCTGCTAGTGTAGATGTTGTGAATTGAAGTTTCTTAATTTAGGTTTGTTAATTTATAATCCAGAGAGTATGGTTGTTTGTTTGTGCTTTTCTTTCTGTAATTTTGTGTTGGACATATAAATGCTGAAGAAGGGAAGAGAAAACAGGGCCCCCATATATATATTTGGTTCTGCAATTAATATTTCTGTATTTATATGCTTTTGGTTTAGAAATTTGCATTTCTCTCTCTCTCTCTCTCTCTCTCGGTACCTTAAAAAGAAAAACCCAGATACCAGAAAGCAAGTAAAGTCCAGACATTTGATGATTTGGTTTCATATTCTTTATTTGATTAAAAATTTGGCTTTTGGGTCATCTTGGGGTGTTAGTTCATGGTGTAGTAGAATAAAAATAATGTAAACCAGTGACTCTAAAAGAGGTGTTTAGGTTGCTTGCTGCTAGCATATGGTAGGTAGCTTAGCTAACTGCAGATATAAAACCTTGTATATATATATATATATGTATGACTGTTAAATCATGCGTCAAAATAGTAGAAAGTCCAGCTCTTTGACTGATGCTTAGCCAGTTTATCAAACTTTGGTAAAGAATCGCTGAGCTGCACAGGGTTCGAAAATTACCGCACAGAGAATGTTTCAAAGTTCAGTTGCATAAACAGAGGACTGAGTCAATGTTATATTTTTATTTTATTTTTTGGGTACTGAAAAGATTCGAGCTTTCAGTGACAGTAGTTTATATGAAGCCCTCAGTGTTGCAACCTGAAAAATATATATTAAAACAAAAGTTTTATGCAAAAAATTTGCTAATTGGCTTTGGATTCTGTAGAGTTTAGGGAGCTATGAAAGGGAGGCCAGCTCTTTTGGGTCAAAGAATCTTTCTCTGTCTTATTGGGGAAAAGCCTATAGTTACGGTCAAATTTCCCATGGATTTGGTACCAACTGCAAACTAGAAAACAAGGCATCAAAATGACCAATTCAACATGGTGAAAAAAATTGATTCGGTTCCTTCTTTGGTGATCCAAAAATTACCTAATGAGGACACTCCTATGGTGATTCTTTTGACACTCTCAGAATATCATTTTGAAAAATTGATTTGATGAAGACATTTCTCAGTGCTTTAATTACAATTCTTTTTTGTATATGTTCCTTCAAACGAGAAGAACTTGAATGTAACGGGGGAGAATACTGTTTTGCTATCCTCATTCAATCATGTGAAAAGTTATCATGCATGTGAAACGTGATTAGTTGGGGAGTGATATACAAGTTTTTCTCCCTTCAAATCCGTAAGGATTAATTGGGTTCTCATTGTCGTTTTAATTGCAAATATTGGATTTTTGCCTTCAAATGAGAAGGATTTCTTTCAGGACACGATCTCTATCTATTAACAATCAAATTATGAAATGTATAATTTTGTTCATGGGAATTGTCACAGATTAGAAGGTATGAATAAACAAATATTAAAGCATGGGCGGATAAGTGGCCTGGCCCCTGTCCTTGCTAGCTAATTATTTCTGTGCTTATTATGCCCATGCATGTTTTCTCATTTGAGCTTTCAGCCCAGTGAGTAATTTTTTTCAAGTCACGGTAACATCATCACGTGGTATTATTAATTCACTTATATTGCATTACGTTGAGCCATAGCAGCAACCACGTATTAAGATCACTATAATGAAGCCTGGCTTAGTATGATAGCGAAGAGTGAAGAAATCACAAAGCGGCAACTCTGGGCCATGGAAAAAGAGAAAGATATAATGATAACAGCCACCAAACACATTGGCTTTTTGTTGATGAAGCTTGCATTCTAAGGAAGGTTGGTTAATGAATGCTCCTGCTGAAACTTGATTCCTATGGCTAATGGGGCTCATCAACTACATCTAAAAGTATAGAAAATTGAGTCTTGAAACTTGTAATAATAAGCAAAATGGTTTAGTCAGAGGCCAAAATCCCTAATTCAGCCTTGAGATGCATCCTAATTCCTAAAGCCAAAGTTTGCTTGGGGTCTTTGATCTTCCTCTTTTTTTCTTTTGGCCAGTGTGACTTTGGTCTTCCTTATGCTAGCTTAAGCTTCCAAAGTCATTCAACACCACCAACAAACACCATGGCCCTTTGGAAAAGAAAAAAAGAAAAAAGAAAAACAGTCTTTGATGCCATGGACGGCACAGCTGCTTTCCAACCCTCGTTTTGTCTCAGCCCAACCTTTTTTTCATTCATGTCCACAAAATTAGAAACTCAAAACCTTGAAGCTTCCAATAGGACCCATACAGTACAGGTCTTTTCAAACTTGTATCTCATCTTGACCCATTTTTCATGTCCCATAAACTTGGAAGCCCAAACTTGAAGCTTCAATAAAAGTCTAGCCCTTCAACGGGTAACTTTTGCAGCATATTTAACTAACCACATTCTCCACTGTGATACTCACTTAAATAAATTCCATCTACATTGAGGAATGCGATGAGTAAACATGGTATAAATAGGATACAAATAATTTCGGTGTAATTTTAATGTAATTTCCTACAACATTAAGGAGAATATAATAGGGTGTTGATCTTCTTGACCAGTAACTATGAACAAAGCTTTGTTACAGGTTTCCTGTCGACTATCGTTGCGACATTGTTCGAGGAACCATAGATGATGGCGGAGTATAGGATCATTTACGAGGGTATGTTCTAGTACATTGCACGTTCTCATCCTAGCTGTTGACACTATTGATAAGTGCACCTTCTAGTTTGAGGCATACTTATTATATATGTTAAGATGTAGCCTTGTGGTTTTGCTTGGTTGCATTGGTTGTCCTGAATTTGAACAAAATAAGTATGTACTACATTATATTAAAAACAACCGTCCAATTCAAATATTGTTTGCATTGTAGAAAGTGGCAGTTGCCAAAATAATCTGGGTGAATAAGCTTTAAAGTAAATAGAACAGCCTTTCAGGTCTGGCCTCTCTGTGGATCAGCAATAAAATTCTCACGATTCAATAGCAAAGCCTCTTGGGTTTGGAGAGTAATTTTGAAGTTGATGCGGAAATATTTGCTTTTCCTAATGATCCATTCAATCAAGAAATATTTGCTTCGTCTCCTTTCCATCCTCTTTGTCCACGTGTCCTCTCTTTTTATCTTTCTTCGGGGCCAAAAATAGAAACTCGCCTGCAAGTGGCTAGTAGCTCAGTGGTTAAGATCATTTACCCATACACATGAGTTTTTAGATTCGATCCCCCCCAACATCTCTCGTCTAAAAAAAGATAGAACCTCAACTCCACTTAAATTACCAATCACCCCTCTCCTTTCCTCACCAACTCCGTCAATCATTTTGTGACATTATTTCCAAGAAAATAATAAGAGGCTCACAATCTTCATTCTCTGGCCCATCATTGATGTTTCTTTTTATGACATCTGTCCTAAAACTTAAACAGATACAAACACCATTAACTCTGGTTAGACCCCACCACCATAGCAGAAAATTCATAATTGAGGTGAGGTTGGCAAAATATGGTAACCCCACCACCATAGCAGAAAATTCATAATTGAGGTGAGGTTGGCAAAATATGGTAAAGGATTGACAACACTGGCAGCCCTTGTTTCATGATTAGGAGCTTAAGAAGCAATAACACGGCTTGTGTTTAACAGAATTCGTTTGCATTTACTATGATGATTTAGATCAGATCCTAAAGCTCACAAGCCTTGCCTAACAGGAGAAGACACAAATCCAAAGAGCACAACCCTCAGCACTAAAACCTCTACAAGTTAATCACAGAAAGATCAATACTAAAACTCAATCTGGACACAGCAAGAAAGGGGGCACAAAACAAGCTGGTTAATGCCTCTGAATTAAGACCGATAGGTTGCCAAAAAAGTTTTTTGCTCCATAATGATAAGTTGTCACCAGTCTTAATTTGTATTCTTCTTTAAGTTTGTATGCTGCTAAATTTGTTTTGATTAAGATTGAATTCAGTTTTATAGGGTCAACAGAATTTGCTAGAACAGACTGTAGCAGTGACCTGATGATCTTATCTCAAGAATCTAGTAGTTTCCAAGTAGGTTTGGTATTCAAAGTTTTAAATGCTTCAATTATTAATTTTTCGTAGTTTGACTCAGGGTTACATAGATAGACCTTCTAGCAGATTCAAGCTTCTGTTAGGGTGGCAGTTACCAAAACTTCCAAAAGCTTCCTAATTTGATTAGAGAAACTAAAGACTATACAGAGAATGCAACTAGTCAATAGTTCAGAGTTACAAAGGACTTCCAACAGATTTCAAGCTTTGAACACGATCACCGTCGTGCAGAAATTATACTCAATCTTATCATAAATGAATTTCTAACAACTTGTAATGCAAAAAAAAACCTTAGTTCAGTAACCATTGTGCAGAGACCATTGTCAGCATTATGATTGAAAATACTATTAACAATCCTTAGGAATGAAATGAGTCACAACTGGTAAAGTGGTACATATCAAATCGAGTAGTATAACAAACCGAATCTAAACAGATACAAGCGGCAGAAATCATTATCAGCATTGTAATTTGAAATCATTATCAGTGTTATAGATTGAAATCATTATCAGCATCTTTCAATTCAAAATCCTATCAAACAAAAACTACGAGGCAGAGTATCTTAAAACAGAAAACTTCTTATAACATGTAAAAGAACAATAATACAATTGAAAGGAAAACAAAAGAGGCAACAGAGTAGGAGCAGCAGACCTGACCCATCATTAATTCTATCAGTAAATCCGATAAGCGGAACTCAAAATATTGCACGGGCAGCATCAGCAGCAACATAGTCAAATATAGATGGGCAGCAAAAAATGAACACTACCCAATTCAAAGCTCAAACTCCTCGTCCCTAAGAGCCATCTCAGCAGCCTCTTCTTCCTCCTCGTCAAGAATAAAGTACTCGTTCCTCTCCACCGGCCTAAACATATAGAACATGACCATACTCGTTCCTCTCCACCGGCCTAAACATATAGAACATGACCATGTAAAACACTAGACTTGCACTCTCCTCAGCCGCATTGCTCACCCACTGGTACTTATAAGCTGCAATGGTCTTAAGCGCGAAAACTACGATTCTTGTGAAATACAAGTACCCAATAACGACAATGTAAAATTGCCTGAAAAGGGTCAACTTGGCCAAGTTTCTTGCAGCTTTTCCGTCGGTTTTCGACGTCTCTCTGAGAGACCTAATGGACCAAACGATGGGGAATATGATAGCACAGCAGCAAATGATATCAACCAACAAAAACACCTGGTTCCATGTGACCCAGTCCTTGATAAACGGCCCAGTTTCCCCAATCACAACGGACGCCACGTTGGCCAAGACCTGCAGAGGGATCACAATCATCAACACCTTCTTCTCCTTCTCCTGCAAGAAGGGCTTCAAAAACGACCACCCGGTCCCGATCAAAACGATCACCGTAAACAACAAAACGACACGGAGGAACTGGAAGATGTAGAACAACACATCCCATCCGTGGGCGGTACCGGTGACCTTGACATAGTGCTTGTCCTCCGCCGCGGAAATCAGATTCAACGCCTTCATCAGAAGCAGCCCACCCATCAAAAGATGGATCCGGTGCACGGATCTCTTGTTGGTGAAACAGAGGTAGACCCAGAAGCCCACAAACACCAAATAGGCCAAAAAGAAAACGAAGAACAGAGAAGGAAGATGGGTCAACCCGGCCGACAAATAGTCAAACGCACCATCTGGGTCGAGATTGTAGACTTCCGTCCGTACAAGCATGGAAACGGTGGTCTCCGGAGCGCAATTGGCGAAGAAGAGGCTGTACTCGTTCGGAGCAGAGACCGGGTACGACTTGTTGAGCGAGGAGAGAGGCGACGGCGAGAGCTCTCTGAAATTGAAGAGATGGGTTATGTAGCGCGAATCCAAAACGCAGAGCTGAGGGTTCTGCTGGATCTCGACGAGGACTTGCAGGAGGGACTCTTCGGAGAGGAGGAAGAAGCCTAGGCGCGACGGGTCGATGTCGATGTTGCTGAGCTTGGAGGTGACGGACACGTGAGAGAGCCGGATGGTCACGTGACCGCTGTGGGTGAACCCGAACTTCTCGAAGAGGATCATGGGGCGGTTGTCGGAGGAGATCGTGAGGCTCTTGATCTCCGCGGCGGTCGGGGACACCAGTCACGGGACCGCTGTGGGTGAACCCGAACTTCTCGAAGAGGATCATGGGGCGGTTGTCGGAGGAGATCGTGAGGCTCTTGATCTCCGCGGCGGTCGGGGACACCAGCGCCGCCACCAGGGCGGCGATGACGAGAGGGACGAGGGGTAATTTCGTCATTTTGCTCTCGGCGAGGAGTCCAAGCCTTGGAGGAGTAGATAGAGGGGAGATCCGCAGAGAGAGAGAGTTGGGGATTTTTGGGGACGAAGGAAGCGAGGAGAGGTTGGCGTGGATTATAAGATTTGTTTCGGTTTGACGATAATGACCCCCCTTCACTATGAGCCAAAACGAGGCCCAATTGTTTATGGGCTTGGTGCGCCGGCAGGCCCATTTTCTAGACTCGTGGGCTCGTGGAAAAATATTAAATCTACGCATGTGCAACACGTGGACGTATATTCGGATGTCACAAGTCATATCTCATAACTCACAAGTGGTTTTTTTTGTGTCTCACAAATACCCTTGTTCCACCATCAAACCCCCACATTGCCACATTGCCATCCTGGACTTGCAATTTATTATTTTCTCAAATCAATTAATTTACTATCATATCTAGTTGCACAAGTGGACATAATTGATTATTAATGACAGCGTTTTTGTTAATGATAATGGATGTGATTAATGTAATTTTATTTGTCCTGTCCTCACTCATTCAATACGATTAAATTAAGAAGGGTTATCGAAATAGTGTTCTGTTTTGACAAAAAAAAAAAAATTTCACAACATCTTACGTATGGTCATTTCAAATATACAACATCTAGTTAATTTAAATTCATTCAATCTAATATGATTCTTATTTTTGTAAAAAATTTAGCGTCGGGATCAAATCCAGATAATTTCTTTAAATTTTTTTATCCTAATGGAGTCAAGGATGTTGGTTACATTATCCTTTTTAATTATTCTTCTATAGTGTTCTGTTTTGACAAAAAAAAAAAAAATTCTACAACATCTTACGTATGGTCATTTCAAATCTATAACATCTAGTTAATTTAAATTCATTCAATCTAATATGATTCTTGTTTTTGTAAAAAATTTAGCGTCGGGATCAAATCCAGATAATTTCTTTAAATTTTTTTATCCTAATGGAGTCAAGGTTGTTGGTTACATTTTCCTTTTTAATTATTCTTCTATTATCAGAAATTTGAAGACCACGGTTACTCAATAGGATTTCTCCATTTCCCAACATTTTGTGTGAAAAAAGGAAAGGGCATTATGGCCAATTTGGTTCGGACCGTATTAAATATTTGTTAACTTCGAGACAAAGACTTATAGCATTACGAGGTGCAGGTTGCTGCCGAGGTGGCGGTCCGACTCCACCTCGTTCAAGCCTGGCGACATGCATCTGAGTAACAGCAAGTAAAAGACCAAACTACCCTTTCTCGAAACACCGCTAATTTACACGCCACCGTCCAAATTCTCCACGTAATTTCGTCGAACCACAGGACCAGTTACTTATGTTCCTTCCAGGAGTACCTATTTAATGCTTAGCCATGGAGATTTCTGTCTCTGGTTTTTTTCTTTTTTCCTGTTATTCAAACAAACCTCCAAAGGAAATCCAAACTTCGAAACCTCCAGTATTTCAACGACGGAGGTTGGATTTCCAATTCGCCATCCCAAAAGCCCAAATCAAATTCAAAATCAAAATTCAAGAAGAAAGAGCCTCGCAGAGAGAGTCGTTTGAATCTTTGAGCTGTCTCTGATTGTTCATTTCCAATTCAAACCCGTAAGTTTAATGACAATGCTCTTCGTTTTTGCTAATTTTATGTGTTTTATGATTTTTCAATGCATTTTCGTTCTCAATTTTCGGTCTTGATTATATATATATTTTTTTCTTTTCAATTTATAAAGATGTATTGGAGAATTGTCGTTAGTATTTTTTTGATTCCCGACAAATCGAAGGAAAATAAATTTGAGCTTTTTCAGCATCTCAGCTCAACTTGCTTGGATTGTATCGAAAGGTTCCAAATTGACTAATGAAAAAAATAAAATTATTATTTTTCTTTCTTCATTACCTGGCAACCAAACAGAGTGTTAGGGTTTCCAATCATTTTTAGATGACAAGTGGTTGCTCTATTTGTGTATATTGTTCATATTGTTAGATTGTGTTGTGTGATTATCATTCCATTATGTGTTATGATGCAGATACCAAAGAAGGATCAGAATCATAATCAAGAGAAGAGAATTTTGGATGAATGCGTGAAGACAATTTTTTTGTTGACAATTAAAGGTTTGAGTTTAGATGCTAATTTGGGTTTCACTAAATTTTGAGGGGTTGTTAGTGGCTTGACCAGATGAATGTGGTTGGCAAAGTTGGGAGCTTGATATCCCAAGGTGTTTATTCTGTTGCCACTCCTTTTCATCCCTTTGGTGGGGCTGTTGATGTCATTGTTGTTCAGCAGCAGGATGGGACATTTCGAAGCACGCCTTGGTACGTCAGGGTTGGTAAATTTCAGGGTGTTCTTAAAGGTGCAGAGAAGATGGTCCGCATAAATGTAAATGGAGTTGATGCCAATTTCCATATGTATCTTGATAACTCAGGAGAGGCTTATTTTGTAAAGGAGGTTGATTCTGGTAAAGGAAGTGAGACAAATGGGGTTGTGAAGGATTCTGTTACTTTAGAACCTACACAAGAGGAAAGTAGTTTGGAGATTGATAACCAGAATAATGGTAACGAAAACATTCTTGAAATTCGTAGACTGGAGCATAGTGTCTCTGATTCGATGGTGGTTCAATTGCGAGATGAACGTGGTTCCTTAGGCGCAAACCTGATACAGAGGGCAGAATCTGATTCTGATCGGAGATATTACGAATTTAAAGATGAGCAATCTTCTCTAGAGGGTTCCGTTGAGTTATCAGAGTATGGATCAGGTCGATATGATAATTTAGACAGTGATCATATTGTGGAATCACAGAATTTAAACTCAGAAGTTATATTGGTGAGTGTGGATGGTCATGTATTGACAGCCCCCATTTCAGCATCAGAGCTTAGCACAGAGGATGTGCAAGACACACCTCGATTCAATCTTGGCCCAGGTGAAGAGACCGACTTCTGTGAAGGCAATGAGGAGTTTAGTTCAGGTGAAACTGCTTGGGCTGCTGATTATATTTGTAAGCTGAATGAATCTACAACTAGTGATGCATCTGGTAATGTTTGCGGAGTTCAGAATGAAGATAATGTTATTGGCCGTCAGCTGGAAGTTGATGAAGGAGACAGGGGACTTGCATGTCAAGCTCAAGAAACTCAAAAGACTTCAAGACAGGAAAGAGATCTTCAGATGCATAGCAATTCAGAAGATGCATCTACTAACAAGGCAGACGTTTTCAAGAGCTGTTTGGAGCTAGAAGAAATGGCCAAACGTGGTGGGAAAGCTGATGTTGAAGATATGGGGTCCTCATTGGAGGTTCAAAATTCACCAGAAAAATCAAATCAGACTCTTCCGGACCCGGTGGTTGATAGAACTGAAGATGCTAGTGTTATTGAATTGAGAAATGACAATGAGTTATCTGCTTCTTGTGGTTCTGTTTCACCTGGCAACAATTTGTCTCCACATGTACAAGTTGGAAGTGAATCAGTCGAGAAGATTGTGTCTTCTTTGGAACAAATGAGTATTGAAAGCATTTCTGTACATTCTGTCAGTAACGATCCAGACTGGAAGGATGAACAGTGTGTTACATCAGCAGCAGTCGATGAGACAGAGAGTAGTCAACAAATACCTGCAACTGGAGATGAATGCAGTAAAAGTGAGCTAATAGAATCCCCAACAGAATCTTCAAGTGAAGAAACACAAAATGACCTAATAAAACCCCCAACAGAATCCTCAAGTGAAGAAACACAAGTCCATTCAAGCATAAGTAAGTACCTCTTACCCGCTTCAGTTGTTATTTAACTCTCCATATTTTTTTCTTGATTCTATTATCTAATTTGTGTTTACTGTTCTTACAATTTCCAGGGTTTGAGATCTCACTCTGTGGGAATGAACTTCGTGTGGGTATGGGCGTCAAAGCTGCTGCTGAAGCCTTTGCTGCACGCCGTGTATCTGCACAGGATTTCATAACTTCTGCGACATCGATTTTGAAAAATGAAAATCTGATTATCAGATATAGGGAAAGATACTTTTTGTGGGAAAAAGCAGCTCCTGTTGTTCTTGGAATGGCTGCATTTGATCTAGATTTGCCTGTTGCCCCCGAGGATGCAATTCCTGTGGAACAAGATGGCTCAGAAAAACCCAGGGATGAGGATTCAGGAATGCCTTCCACTCCTACTGGACGCAGATGGAGGCTCTGGCCTATTCCATTTAGAAGGGTGAAAACACTTGAGCACACCAGCAGTAATTCATCGAATGAGGATGAATTTGTTGATTCTGAATCTGGTCTGCAAAACTCACAACTTGAAGCAACTCCTGAGTCCCCTCAAAAGCAATTTGTAAGGACAAATGTTCCCACCAACGAGCAGATAGCATCTTTAAATCTCAAAGAAGGTCAAAATATGATAGCTTTCAATTTCTCTACCAGGGTTTGGGGGACACAACAGGTTTGCCAATCATCTGATGTTTCATTTATAAATTTGAGCTATAGCCAATAGAGTTACTAAGCCATTTTTATCTTTACCAGGTTGATGCACATATTTACTTGTGGAAATGGAATGCCAGAATTGTAATTTCTGATGTTGACGGAACTATTACCAAGTAAGGCTGCTGTGAATGTAATGTGATTTTGATTGTTAAAATAAGATTGCTTCTGCAACTTTCTGAAAGTAGATGGAAAATGTTGAAAGTTGTAATTCTCTTGCTGTCTTCTATTGCCATAGGACAAAACCATAAGAGACCTAGTTTAGTGCCAGACAGTTATGCAAATTAATTCTTTGGACTATCAGATGACAGCACAGGCAATCTGCAAACGTATCAAAAATACAAAAAAGACTTTACCATCATGATGTTATTATTGCTTAGTTTAAAGGTAAAACTTTCACCTGAATCCATTTTTTCCAGGTCTGATGTGTTAGGCCAGTTCATGCCATTAGTTGGAAAAGATTGGACGCAATCTGGTGTGGCTAGACTTTTCTGTGCAATTAAGGTACATCTCTTTAAAGATCATTGCAGGGGATAAAAAGACTTGTAAACCCCATGTTCTAACTGAGTTTAATGGGATTGCATAACTTTAATATTATAAGGGAAAATCCCTTTCTTTTATATTATAATGGAATTATTTGGTTTTCTTTTGTACATTGCTATCTAATATTGA